GAATGCCTGTTGCCAGATTTGAACTAGCGATCTCGTCATTACAAGTGACGCGCCTTAACCACTTAGCCAAACAGGCAGATGCTCTGTTTCGATCTTAACTTGAACTTATAGGTTAAAGAGCGTTAAATATCAAACTTGCGAAACAAACGCTGACATGTACTTGTATATACTATAAGCACAAAAGTTTCTGGACAACAGAAAGCTCAAAAACTTCAAAGGCAAGAAAGCCATAAAAAAAAGAGAAAAGTAACGGGCTCATATGTTCAGCTTCTGTTTCTTTCAGAGAACGAACAATATTCGCATCCTCTTAAAGTCTTTGTAATTTCTCATTAATGTTCGTGTTGTGGGAAGGGGAGGGGGAAAGACCGTGGCTACCATGTCCCTGCAACTTTCAAAAATTCAACAAATCGTCTGTAGATAAAGCTACATTTCCCTCGACGGAACAGATTTTTCGATTTAATGCCTTTTTGATGTGTCGCATAATGAACTTTGTCGAGGTCCATGGTCCAAATACTGCCAAGCCTGTTTTCTGTTCGCGTAACTACTCATCTTTTTTACACCCTATCCCAATCGTATGGTAAATGTTCTTGATATGTTTCGGTATCCATTCATACAATGATATTTTTATTCCCTCTTCCAACATACTCACCGACCCCTAACTACTAATATTTATCAATCTATCATCAATCTATCTCATATTTTACCGCTATTCGTTAACAAAGTATTTGAGCATGTTCGGGCGTTTGTTTTCATGTGCCGCTGATATCTGCAAAGTCTAAACCCGTTCGTTTGGGTTAGCGCACCGAGGCGTTGCAATTAATGTAACTGGTGTTCTAAAGTCGATTAAAAAGAAACATTCATCGTTCACTCAGTTGGAAGGTTTCGCCTCGTTATATCTTTGGGCACTTTCTCTTTCCTTCCCTCCCCCTCACAACCACTCAAAACTTGTTAAACGCCTTTCTGTAAACTCAACAATCTTACTATTCAACAGGTTAATTGATTCGAAGGTAGGTTTCGCCTCGTTATATCTTTGGGCACTTTCTCTTTCCTTCCCTCCCCCTCACAACCACTCAAAACTTGTTAAACGCCTTTCTGTAAACTCAACAATCTTACTATTCAACAGGTTAATTGATTCGAAGGTAGGTTTCGCCTCGTTATATCTTTGGGCACTTTCTCTTTCCTTCCCTCCCCCTCACAACCACTCAAAACTTGTTAAACGCCTTTCTGTAAACTCAACAATCTTACTATTCAACAGGTTAATTGATTCGAAGGTAGGATTCGCCTCGTTATATCTTTGGGCACTTTCTCTTTCCTTCCCTCCCCCTCACAACCACTCAAAACTTGTTAAAC